CCAGCCACAACGCCCGGCTATTTTTTGGTTGCAGCCGTCATTGTTGCTTTGGCGGGTCCGGGCTGGGGATTCGAACCCACCACCTTAGGTGTACGGGGCTGGCGCCTTAGCCGGTTGAGCTATAGGCGCCGAGCCCTCAGGCTGGTCTCTTAACTCCTAGCTCAAGCAATCCACCTGCCCTGGTCTCCCAGGAACTAGGATTACAGACCTGGGCCACCCCACCCAGCCAAATAGGAACCCTTTTGTCCCATGTCCTCTTCCCCTGCCCTTTCCTACCCTCTCCCACCCAGAGGACATATAGCAATGTTGAAATTCACCTGTAGGCAGGGCACCCCTGTGGCACCCCTAGGGTGGGAGGTGAGGGGTGGAGAGAGACACAGATTAACTCAGAAAGAGCACAGCTCAGCAGGGGAGACATACCTGTTAACAGCCCTTTACAAGGGTTAGGTAAACAAAACTCAAAAGTGGTGGGGAGAGCTTCCCAGCTCTGAAAGGGAAGCCAGTATAAACACAGATCCATAGGAAGGTGGCCACACCAGACTATGAGCCCCTCTAGAGAAGGGTCTTGGTCCTATCTACCTGCCCCACCCGGCCCAGAGCTGGAGGGGCTCTGAAAACATTTGTCTCTGACTGAGCAAGGGTCCAGGAACCCACCCTTACAACGTCAGGATTTGCAAATTGGAGTGTGAAGGGCAGCTCCACCTGGCAACTTCTCCTTGGTTTCTTCATTATCTGGAATAATATCTGCCTCACAGGAGAATTTTAAATAAAAGTGATAATAACGAACACGACCATAATAATAACTGGGCACTATCTATGTGCCAGGCACTGTTCAATGTCTTTTCCACATTGAGTTGTATTAACTCATTTAATACTCACGATAAGACACGTGCCAAGAGACTGGCCCAGAATTTGGCACATTATAAGTCCTCCATAAATATTATTATCCCACCTACCAGAAGAAAGAAAGGAGTTCCCTCTTTTCTGGCCAACATTAACTTTAAAGGGGGAGGGGAATGGATAAGAACAGAGGCCGAAATGTGGTAGAAGAGGACTCGGGAAGTCCAGGGCAGGGAGTTCGAGGCCGGGGTCCTGGACGTCAGACGAGGTTTGGAAAGCGCTGGAAGGCAAGGGGTGTGGTGTGCCAAAAATAGAGGTTCCCTTCAGGGAAGCGAGCACATTTCAAAGATCCAGTATCACCAGGAAAAAAGAGGTCGCTTTCCGAGTGTGGGACCCCGCAGTGACCGCAGCACTCCACTAGGTCACAAGATTTGGGAAGAGGTGGGTCCCCTCGCTAAAAGAAGGAGATTCCTGAGGGAGACGGGGCGCGGGTGCAGGGTGCTGAGGGATCTCAGTGGGAGAAATGCCTGGGTCTGGGTGGAGGGCACTGTGGCACTAGAGGAGGCAACCCCCGGCGGGGCGGGGAACAGGGGCATCCTGGGGCTCCAGCAGGAAGGGATTGTGGTGCGCAGGGGGCGCCGAGAACCCCCTGGCTCCCGGGCCTGCAGGTGTAAGCTCGGGCCGCCCTAGACCGGGTTCTCACTCACCTGGCTCCCCTCCAAGGGCGGGCCAGCATGGCCCAGCGGAGCACGGGCGAAGGTAGCAGCATCTCGGGCTTACAGCGGAGATGTTGGCTAGAGCGTCCGCCGGGGCGCAGCAGGACAGAACTACCCCGCCGGGAGCACACCATCTCAATGAGTGGGGGTGACTGCATCACCCTGGCTGTCCTTCGAGCTCAAGGTCAGCCAGAGTCACTCTATATTTACTTTTACTAATGAAATTCTATTTATGTTGGCAAATGGGGAAATCATGTAACAAAGGGCAAAGGAACCCGAAAGTAAAGGCCTAAAAATATATGCGTATCCCCCTCCTCTCTTTATAGTATGACCCAGAGGGGGGCGAGGGCGTGAGCCTTATCGGCCAATCAGAGTGACACATCAAAGCTCCTAGGCCAATCAGCAGGGACTGGAAGACAGGGGCCGAAAGAGCCAATGAAAGAGTCGGGATGGAACACGTGCGGAGGCGAGGCGGAAGGACCAGCTACGCC